TGGGCACACACCTGGGCACACCTGGGCCCCCAAAAACCGCTCCAGGTGTACGCACGTCCATCCAGGTGTGCCCAGGTGTGCCCAGGTGAGCTCAGCTGTATCTCAGGTGTGTCCATGTCCATCCAGGTGTGCCCAGCTGTATCTCAGGTATCTCCAGGTGTATCCATTGTCCATCCAGGTGTATCCCAGGTGTGCCAAGGTGTGCCCAGGTGTATCTCAGGTGTGTCCAGGTGTATCTCAGGTGTGTCCGTTGTCCATCGATGTGTGCATGTCCATCCAGATGTATCTGAGGTGTCTCCAGGTGTGCCCAGGTGTGCCCAGGTGTGCCCAGGTGTGTCCATTGTCCATCCAGGTGTGTCCATTGTCCATCCAGGTGTGTCAATGACCATCCAGGTGTATCTCAGGTGTCTCCAGGTGTGCCCAGGTGTGCCCAGGTGTATCTCAGGTGTATCCATTGTCCATCCAGGTGTCTCCAGGTGTATCTCAGGTATATCCAGGTGTGTCCATGTCCATCCAGGTGTATCTCAGGCATGCCCAGGTGTATCTCAGGTGTCTCCAGGTGTGCCCAGGTGTATCTCAGGTGTGTCCATGTCCATCCAGGTGTCTCCAGGTGTCTCCAGGTGTCTCCAGGTGTGCCCAGGTGCGCTCAGGGGGGCGGCAGGAGGGGCACGAGGAGCCGCAGCGCCCCCAGCCCCAGCGCGGCCGCCCCCAGGTGTATCTCAGGTATATCCAGGTGTGCCCATGTCCATCCAGGTGTGCCCAGGTGTCTCTCAGGTGTCTCCAGGTGTGCCCAGGTGTGTCCATTGTCCATCCAGGTGTATCTCAGGTATATCCAGGTGTGTCCATGACCATCCAGGTGTATCTCAGGTGTGCCCAGGTGTGCCCAGGTGTGTCCATTGTCCATCCAGGTGTGTCAATGTCCATCCATGTGTCTCCAGGTGTATCTCAGGTGTATCTCAGGTGTGTCCATGTCCATCCAGGTGTGCCCAGCTGTATCTCAGGTATCTCCAGGTGTATCCATTGTCCATCCAGGTGTATCCCAGGTGTGCCAAGGTGTGCCCAGGTGTATCTCAGGTGTGTCCAGGTGTATCTCAGGTGTGTCCGTTGTCCATCGATGTGTGCATGTCCATCCAGATGTATCTGAGGTGTCTCCAGGTGTGCCCAGGTGTGCCCAGGTGTGCCCAGGTGTGTCCATTGTCCATCCAGGTGTGTCCATTGTCCATCCAGGTGTGTCCATTGTCCATCCAGGTGTGTCCATTGTCCATCCAGGTGTGTCTCAGGTATATCCAGGTGTGTCCATGACCATCCAGGTGTATCTCAGGTGTCTCCAGGTGTGCCCAGGTGTGCCCAGGTGTATCTCAGGTGT